AAGGTTGTGTTGTTTGTAAACGAAGCATCTATCTTTGACTCAACTGCTTCCACATGTCGTTGATTGTTACCGCTCGGCAGTCCAAACGGCAAGGGAGACGATGACGATATATATCACATATTATTGTTCGTCGAGTAGTTTAAATTTCTCCCCCCTCGGCCCCCACAAATGACTCACTGTGTATTTAGAGTTAACCCTCCATTACAAATCTCGTAAGTACAGTATAGAATGTTGATAAAGCATGATAATGTGAAATATGTATTTGTAATCTCTATCTACAATTTAATCTCTACGAGGTGACACCATAATGAGATCTCGCACCACCTCAAAATCTTCCTAGGGCAGCCTCTGGTTTGGCCCGTGGAAAAAGTTTTCTTTCCAATTTGGCCCAGGGGCAAAAACTGTTGGTCATCCCTGCACTAAATCCAACATAATAATAATAATTATTACATATGCAAAATAATAATAATAATTATTATTATTTTGCAAATGTCATGCTCAGCTGATACTGGTTCCAAGTACTATGTTGGACTAAAGTCAAAGCATAGATACCCAAACAAATGTTACACTAAGCTGTGTTATTGGTATATATGTCAACATCTAGAAACTTCCTGACAATGTGACATGTGTTCAATATTGCAGCTATTCTGTCATGTATATGTTTTTATTAAGGTTTAATGTTTCTAGACTGTTGTGTAGTGTATATGGTATAACACCAGTAGAAGAGAAGACAACAGGTACAATAAATACTTTATCCATCCTCCACATCTGTCATATTTCTTGAGTGAGTAGAGTGTACTTGTTGATTTTTTCAATATGAGCAATTTTTATGTTATGAGTGTTTGGAATAGAGATGTCTATTACATAAGCAATCTTACTGCACTTGTTGGTGAGAGTGATGTCAGGTCTATTGTGATGAATAGTTTTATCTGTGATTATGGCTCTGTTATAGTATTTGTGTGTGTCATTTTTTAATACTGCCTGTAGAGTATATTTGTAGTATGGTACCTGGTTTTTAATAATCTATGTTTATGTGCAATGTGCTATTTGATTATGCCTATGTAAGTAATTTGCAACCATAAATTGTATGTTGTATTGTTTCTGGCAGAATGTAGAATTTTCCTCTAGAGTCCTTTGTTAGTGATGTATCCTTCAGGATGTGTTTTCTATAGTTTTTAGTGTTTATGACTTGATCTTGCATGGCATTCATAAACCCTCAGTCTCTTTAAACAGACATCCCCTATTTAGCCAGTAGTTTGACACAGTTTTGTTAACATACTCTTGATCTAGGTCGTAGGCATCCTGCCATAAAGTGCCTTTTGGGCTCATAACTACTTAGTGGTTATGTTATTTATGTGTTGAGCTATATCCAGGTGCTCAGAATGTAAGTTTAAAGGTATGGTTACTGTCTGCCAGAGTTATAGTTTTATATAATCTTGATGTTTCTTGTTTTTTGTGAAAAAACTGCTGCAGTGTCTGAATTTGTTTGTAGTATAGTTTAACTATATTAGTAAGGCCATAGTCACGGCCATCTTCTTTACAAGGAAGAGTTAGTCTTTCTATGGATGATTTTGGGTGATGTTGTTTATTCTTAGTAAGCGTTCTTGTTTCCCTTTGGAGTTGCTTCAGTTGCTCCTTACTGTTTAGTAAAATATCCATTTTCATAATTAAAAAAATGTACTGAATTTAGTACATTAATTATAGGATATTATATGTATACTAAAAAAAAGTCCAAATTAATATAAAAAATATTTACATTTATGTCAGAAAAGGCAGAAGTTTAACTTATGTCTACAGAAACAAAACATTAAATCTGGTCTTGTGTATAACAGTTTGAAAGCTTTATTTGGATTTTTGTAGTATAACTTGGCTGCAGAAAAAATATGGCCAAATAGATATAAAATTTTCATCTATCCCAGAACTATGTTATTTTTATTTTCTTCATATCCTGTATAAGCTGCTTCTTTAGATTGTGTAATTTTTATGAAATTTAATTGCTATCTGTATTAAGTTTCGTTGCAATTAACTTTAATGTTTCTTTTTTTTTATTTCAATTTCTTTAACTTGTAGAACAAACATCTAACAATAACAGGTTTCTTCATACAGAGATATTAAAATTTTAATTTTTGCATTGCTTTATTACTTTCTTACCTCAATCAAAAACTTCATCAAAAACTTCAGATTATGAGGCGTTAAATAGAATTAAAGGAAATATTTTAATCTTGCAAGCGCTATTCTGTTCGAATTCTCTATTCGATTTTGAATTGCCTGAAGACGACGTACATATTTACGTTGAAAGCGCTTGCAAGATTAAAATATTTCTTTTAATTCTATTTAACGCCTCATAATCTGAAGTTTTTGATTGAGTTAACTGTGGCGTGACATCCGAGCCGAGTATTTAATACTTTCTTACCTTCTAATACATCAAACTTGCATTCTTTAACTCATCAAATATTGGAACAAACTAGAATAATTTTGAGAAAACATGCAAATACAGTTATGTCTGTTTAGACAAGCAAGCATAAATGCTATGCAAGAACTTCCAGAAGTTTCCAGCAAGATGAATTGCATAGCTGTTTACAAGAACAACAAATTATACATACATACATACATATAGTATAATGTACTATTATTGTGTTTTCTACCTTTTTACTACTAGAAATCTGTCTAGAAGGAAAGCCAATATTATAAAAAAAATCTCCAACATCTGAAATGTAGATAACTTAAAATTACATATCATGCATTGTCTTTCAGCAAATAATACATATTTGCATTAAATACAAAATGGAGTGTTTTCGGCCTATTTTAGGAGCTGTCATCAAGCATCTTTACAGAATGTTAGATATTCTAATTCTAATTTAGAAAATTATAATCTGTATGTATGTTTGAATGTATGTAAATTTTAAGTTATAAACTTAATATTGTGATAAAGAGAATGAAGATTGAATAAATGCTTAAAATTGCAAGTTTTGTCTGTAGTCTTTCTACAAATTGTTCTTTTATTTCACAGCCTTTCCTAGTTATCAAGTTAGCCTCATCTATAGTCTGAGGTTGTCAAGCAAACATTTAGATGATGCTACTACTTTTCATTAAGGACTTCTAATGCTTTTTCAAGTTGCAGACATATCTCAAGTAAATCCTTCTTGAGACATGTTTGTGATTTTTTAAAGCATTTTTTTAGTACCCATTTGTTCTTATATCATAAATAGGAATTCTTTAGATCTTTATTATATCTTAAATATTTCATAAGTATCCATTCAAATATTTGGTATATCTGTTCTAGATTGCTCTTTGATATTATTTAATTTAGTATAAAACAACTAGTTTTTTATTTTTTTAGTAACTTAAATTTAAGTTTTACATCTACAGTACTTCATTAATTACTTTTCTTTAAACAAAATACTCTTTATTTTTCCATTTTTAGCATAGCCAAAAATGCCTTTTTAAAACAGCCAGAAAGTCTTGACAGTGTTCAACTATTTTTATTATCTAATGGAATTGGTATAACTATTTTTGTTTGTAAATAATTGTAAAATTAACACTGTTCCTTGGTTTTTAGTAACTTTCATTTTAATTTTAAACTTGGTTAAGTCAAGTTTGTAAAATTTTCTTTAAGATTTTGTTAAGAAGCCAAATTTCATTAAATTAACATTTTTATTTCAAAACAAAAGGTGCAATTAACACTGTTCCTTGGTTTTTAGTAACTTTCATTTTAATTTTAAACTTGGTTAAGTCAAGTTTGTCAAATTTTCTTTAAGATTTTGTAGATTTTTGCATAATTTTTGTAAAGTGCTATTAAAAGTAAACGAGGATAAAAGTAAAAGAGGATAAAACAAACTTGTCCTCATATTGTTATTGTAATTAACAGTATGTGAGCCATAGAGAATAAATATACTTATGCAAGTCATTAAAGATCACAGGCAATACTTAAACAGCCAGGGCTTTATAACACGTGTAAGTAAAAATTATTATGTAATCTATCGATAGTGGTGCCGCGAAGCTAGGTCATATATATACATAACATTATGTTAAATTTTCAGTAAATTAATTTACTATTAAGTATAGTAATTTAGTAATATAGTCCGTGAAACTGCAAATGCACAGAGTTTGATTATCATAAAACACAAAAAAACAAATTTCTGGATCATACGGAATTTCGATTATTAGTTCTATCAAGTTAGAATAATTGAAATCCACTGTATTTTCAATTGGCAATGTATAAATAACTACATCTATGAAATATATCAATTTTCACGAAAAAATTACAACTTATTTACAAAACCATGATTCATTTACGAACTGAATATTCTAAATAAACGGATTAAATTCAATTGAAAGGATAACAACACAATACTTGGGCGATCTGTCAAGAGGGAAATGCTTACAAGCAGGACCTTTTACGACAAATTAGTTTAGATGTAAGATACGTGAAAATCCGAAAAATATCACTCGACTAGCCTATTGGTGTGGTGCTAATCCACGACCAGCAAGAGTTCAGATGGTTTTATCCACTCGGCCACTTGTGGGCGTGTAAACATAAAATTATTGTTGAACCATACGAAATTTTCATTCCTGTGCACCCGCTATAACATTTTGCATATTATTTTCCTGTTATTAGTCACTGTAGTTTCTTCAAACATTATAGAACAGGCAAAGCACAATAACATTTAGAAAGAAGCAAAAATATAAAATTAATGTAAAAAGTAATTAGTAATAATTATTCTTTTCAGATACTTTTATTTTATATTTCACTGAAGAACTTTTATACAGCGATAACACAGGAACTAATATATATNTGATGAATTTGTAATTATCATATTCAGCATATTATCTTATGAAACTTTTTGGAAACTTAAAATTCTATGCTACTTTCTTCGAAATTATTAAAATTAGTTGAATATAATGTTTATCTTAAATGCTAAGCTTAAATGGTACTACTAAATTTATCAGTACGTATTTCAAAAATTTTTCAAATAAATGATAAATATTGTATTTTATAGTGGTCTATTGTGATTACATGGCTTCAGGAAAACCATTACAGTTTATTGAAGATTTTATTCAGAAAGAAGTATTGCCTATGTATGGTAACACTCATACAACAACGAGTGTAACTTCTCTACAAACAACTTTATTTCGCCATGAAGCAAGGTATTACAATAATAAAAATCTAATATTTTTGTATTAGGCTGTGTCCATATTAGTAAAAATTTGCATTGTGTATCAAATGTAAATTGTTTTAGTATTTCTCAATAGATATTAAAAGATTGCTGTATGATTTTTTTGTCAATTGTATAGTTTTGTAAATTACAATGATGGAGTTAAACAAAGAAAATGTGTTACTTTTGATACAAGAGTACAAAAAATATGTACAGTACTTTTCTATATCCCGTGGGATCCTAGTCACAGATACAAAAAATTAATCATCTGTGCATAAATCTTGCAAATGTCCACATTCAAATATAGGTGCAGCACAAATCTCTTTGATGTCTTTCCAAAAACCAACAGTGCATCCTGTGCATTGAACATGGAAAAAATTCTTGTGTGTGTTCTTGTATGCTTCATTTACTAATGTGGACCTGGCTTTACATATATTGTATCTATGTAACAAGTATTATTTTTCCTCTTTCAGAATTTTTTTATGTATCTTTTAGATGTAGCATAAGAATGTTTTATCAAAATAATTAAAAATAATTACATTTTATTTCTAGATAAAAAAATTAATTGGAGATTCAAATATTATATTTTAATGCATGTAATGTATTGGGTTGTTTGGAAAGTAAGTTTGTTTTTTTCCCATGGAAAAAAACACAATATTTTTAAAATAAATAAATATTTTATTGAATTATATATCAACCATTTTTGTCAAACCTGTTGTCATTGTTTCTAGTAGTAGCATGATTTCACATTCATAAAAGTTTCGATTATTGCTTACAAAAAACCGATCCAAGTGATTTTTGACAATGTCATTTCAAGTAAATGTCTTACATTTAAAAAAAAATTTGTATAGACCGGAACAAGTAATAATCTGAGTGTGTCTGATCTGGCGAATATGGTTGGTGCGATAGCATGTCCCCTCTAAGTTATAACAGTTTCTGACGAGTTACCAAACTTGTGTGAAATTTGACATTATCGTGGTAAAACACTACACCTGTTTTGTTGATAAATTCTGGCCACCTTTTCTGTTTGATGATATTACTCAATTTGTTTACTCGATGGCAGTACACTTTCGAATGAATTGTTAAATTGTCCAAAAAAATATTTCCTTAAAATCCCATCAAAGATAGCATCTCTCCTTAAGAACATGTGGAACCCATATATCAAGCTTTGAAACGAAACCAATTTGTTTCAAGTAATCATAAACGGTTCAATTTGACAAATTTAATCTCTTAGTGATGTCACGTGTTGTTATTTGGCAGTTTGCTTCAATCAGTACCTTTATTTTGTTTTCATTGGCTTCAACTGGCCATCCAGAACATGGTG